TGTTATACGAAAACAATGGATCGTGGATCACTACATCAAAAACTAATGATGTATTGTATGGTGACTAACATAACATAATAAAATTTAAAAAAAAAAAGTGCATGCATTCAGGATAGGGGCAGGAACAGGGCTAGAGGAGATGATCTTATCCCTTTATACTTTCCTATCACCACCTCTCCAAAGGGGCCAGAGTCTCCAACTGGTGAGTAAGTGGTCTTCTCTGGACCCTCTTCATTCCCACCCCTGTGTCTTCCCCTAAAGCTGACTGCTTTCCCTGTACAGCTCTATGGTCTTGGGTCCTGGTTTATAAAATATTAAGAGGAGGGTAAATATCAGTACTTGGAACTCAGAATTGGGCAATAAGATCGGGTGGGAAGGTTGAGATTTTCTGAAGGATCAGGGAAAGATAAATTCCATCTCTTTCCACTCCTCGTAACAGTCTTTTATGCTGCAATTAGCCAAATGGCCAGGTAGTGTCTGTGTGTGTGTGTGGAGGGGTTGTATCAGAGGCCTATGAGGGGGTTGTATGGAACAAATGATATTTAGAGAATTGGGCTTATCTAGCCCTGACCATTGGTGAGGAGGGGAGGAACCCTCTAGGAAGGAGACTGACATTCTAGGTAGCAGAGAATAGGATCTAGGATGAGGGATATGGCTATGAGAAACCCAAGATGTACCTTGAAGTGGGTCCTAGAGATAGGCTTTCATCACCTGCTCCTGTCTCTTTGTTCCTCCAGGTCTTGCCCAGCCACACTACACCAAGAGCAATCTGGTCCGGATATGTATTGGGGCTGTGATTCTAATACTCCTGGTGGGGCTTCTGGCAGAAGATTGGCACAGCAGAAAGAAATCCCTGCCACACCGGGTCAGACCTATCCGCAGGCCACTCCCACCCCTCCCGCAGACCCAGAAACCACACAGTCCGCAGGATGGGGGTCGACCAGATGGCCACAACCATGGGCACCACCATTAGAACTCCAAAGCTTGGTTCTATCTACGAGACATGGGACATAAAACCATGTGTGGAGTGTATGGAATGTAGGAGCAGGAGGATAGTGGTTATAACTGTGGAGGAGGAGGACCTTGGGGCCTCTCCTTGGTGTCCCATCAAGGAGCTGTTGAGCCAGTGTCTATTTGGCTTTCCATCCAAGGACTCCCTTCATTTGGGACTGGAGGTATCTAGTGGATGCCAGTATCTTTTCACTCATATCTTGCCCCTTGTGGGTCTTATGGCACCCTAACTGGACCATCACACTGACCTCTTCAACCTTTCCTAATACATATTACAGATTGACTTCTATATCCCCAAGCCTCATAGCTGACCCTGTTCTATCCTCTGCACAAAACTCTCCCATGCTTCCTGTTGGCCCCTGTGTTTTCTCTGGGTATCCATGGCTTAGCTGGTTAATTCAGACTAGTACTCATTTCCTGAGCCTCTCAGCCCAGCCTCTCTCCTAACCAGAAACATTTGGTTATATGTGTGAGTACTCAGGGTTTGCCCCACCACACCTCCCCACCCTGAGGATGCCCTTCTCCTACTCCTTGATCCCAAATGCCATTTCCTCAGACATGGGCTTTGGGTTCATCAATTTATGGCCACATCCTCCTCCTATGTTGCTGCATAGTTAATACCACACTCACAGAATCTCTAACTCACAGGTGAAATTGGCAGAGTATCTGTCCCTAAACTGATGCACACAGGCTACTCAATTTCTTTTCCCCTAAAGGGGGCAACCTCAGGGCATTTTGCACCCAAGGGATATTTGTCAGTGCCTGGAGATATTTTGGGAGGGAGGTGCTGGTATTTAGTGGGTAGAGGGTAGAGATGCTAACACTCTAAGCATGCACAGGACAGTTTCTCTCTCATCATCAAGTATCTCTCCATTTTGAGATACACTTAAGATAACAAAGAATTATCTGGCTCCAAGTGTCAATAGCACAGAAATTGAGAAACCCTTGGCTAGAAGACATTGAGATTCCTTCCTAGCTTTTAAAACATTGTGTGCCTCTATTTCTTCTTTTAACAACCCCACCCACTCCCACCTGAAGGCAGCTAGCACACCTCAGACCCTGAGAATGCAGATGCTCTAGGAGAGACCTATATCCAGCTGAACAAGAGGCCTTGAGAGAGAAACAGAAGGAAACTTGTAGAAAAATCCAGGAGCCCACACCGTATGCAGGGACATCACTGAGATGATGACACACAAGCACATTAAATGGAGGTTTGAAGGGGATGTCTGGGAATGTGGCATATTTGGTGAGAATGATGAATGAATGGACCCCAGTGAAGAAATAGGGGAAAGTAAGATGATTGGAAGAAAAATTTAAAAATTAGTGCTTAATAAAAAAAAGTGATTCTTACAGTTGTTGCTTTAAGGACTTTTGGGATTCTGTCTGTCACAAGGAAATAAGGGGGAGTCTATGGGGAAGAGCATACCATGAAGTACATACCATGAAGTTATGTTTTCTGTAAGTAAGGTTGGAATTATTAAAAAGCTAATCAGAGCAAGGACATGATCATATAAGGGCTTCACTGAAGCACTTAAGAATGCTACAAAATATTGTAGGATTGGTGGAGAAATACTCTACAAGGAAGACCTACTAGGCAGCTATCCACGAAGGTCAAGGAATGCCAGAACTGGGCAGTGACTGGCAAGGTGAACAGACCAGTGTGATCACAAACATTTCTGTCCCCCTTTTCTTTCTGGGTTAGGTTCTCCCCAAATAAAGGATCTTCTGTCTAAATTTGGTCAGAATCCATTAATAAAAACCTCCTTCATGAATGCTTTCATGCCTTTATTTCTCTTGATAGACTCGAGATATAGGCATTCTATCCATAACAGGGGTAAGCCACCTGTGTGTATTTCATGGAAGCCAAAGCACAACCAAGGCTACAGTAACATCTGGCCCAGCACCTAACATCACTGAGAGGGCTCAGAGGAAGTTCACCATCACCTTGATGATCCTGGACTTTACTGGGGAATGAATAAGTCCAGGGGATTCAGAAAATAAAGTCATTTGAAGAAGGTTGGTTATTGGCTGGATCTTGATTATCACTCTCAATGGTCAGTTGTGGGTCATCTTGGGTTTCTTTCAGCAGCTTCTGAATTCGAGGATCAGATTCATCTATCTTCAACCTGGACTTACAATGAGGCAAAAAGAAGGTTTCTTGTTGCTTTAAGGAGATTCATTCCAAATGCCCAAGTGCCTGCAAAAGTCTCATGCTTTAGAGCAGGGGCAGGGGCAGTCTTTACTGATTACTGTATGCTCCAAAGTAGGGTTCCATATTGATTTGGTAGGGAAAGAGAGACAATACCAGGTTAACATTATAATGCTTTTGCATGCTTAGATGATCTCAGGCGATCCTCATATCATGCTCGGAGAGATGGAATTGATGGATACATCTGTGATGTAGTTCTAACACCTTCCTACTCCACAGCTCACTCTGGCAACTTCTACTTGGTGGATCCAGGACAAAACACACACACTTGAATCAAGTCACTCAGACCAGACTTTAGTCCCCCTTGGCTATTTATACTAGCTGACCAATACCTTTTATTTGACCTGTGATAGTAACAGCTTCATTTGTAGGATTCATCTTTTGGTAACCATCTGTGTGATGTGGAAATGGGGAACAGGGTGAGGGCGGAGCAAGAGGGAATAAAGCAAAAATATGTATAGGGAGGAGGCAAGATGGTGGAGAAGTAGGGGACCCCACTTCAACTAGTCCCCTGAATTTAGCTGGATATCTATCAAACCATTTTGAACACCCACAAAATCAGCTTGAGATGTAAGAATATATATCTGGATCTCCACAAGCAGAAAAGCAATTGCTTTTGGCAAGGTAGGACATATGGAATCCTGAATCTGCAGGGAGATAGAAGATACACAGAAGGGGAGGGAGCCGCCATAAGCTGGTGCCTGGAATGTGACATAACACCAGAGCACAAAATCGGAACCCTTAGAAATCTGCTCTAGTAAGAGACACCCCTCCCTGAAGGGGCTCTGGAAATGAAAAGGCAGAATTCTAGGTAGGGCATTATGGTCTCAGATTATGAGGGACCACAGAGCAAAAGGAGATTCCTGAAATGGTAGAGGGCCTGAGCATTGGAGCCAGGAAGCAGGTTCTGGTCAGCGAGCCCAGGAAGGGACTCTCAGCTCGAACTGCCAGAAACCATGAACTGGGAGGGTTGATATCCACTCTTCTTGAACAGCCTGAAAAAATCTGGAACCTGCGCCTGCAACTGGGCAAAAACTCACAGAGCAGTAGTGGCTGGGAAAGGGCTTTAGGTCAGAACCCAGACTTGATTCCAGAGCTTTGGGTGCATGTGGGAGCCCACAGCCCCTTGTGGTTTTAGGAGCACAAAGATACTTCTGGACCCCTGACAACACTTCTGAGAGAGTAGCTGCGGGCATGAACTATGGGTGGCTGTGGTTTTCAGAGGTGCAAGCAGAAGTGGAGACTGTCCTGGACAGTTTATTAAAGAGGGAAGACTGCAAATTTTCTGCTCTGGGCCAGAGGTTTGGCTGTGGCCATTTTTGGTCTGATCCTCTGAAGAGGTGTTCCCCAGGGAACAAACGAGGCACAGAAGACTGGTTTTCATTGAGCCCACCCCCTGAGAGGGGGTGGGGCAACTCTGCACATGCAGCACGTCCCTCCCCCAGAAGATAGGCTGGAAGAACAGGTGGATGACAATCCTTTGGATCCCTTAAGAATGTAAAATCCCAACACCAGGGGAAAATTGTATGTTGAGCTCCAGGTGTGGCCTAACAACTTGTTTATTTTTCAGATATAATTCTCATTTTCTTTTCTTTTCCTTTCTCCTTTTCTCATGCCATTTTCCCCTTCTGTATTTTTCTTTATACCTTCTCCTCATTTTTAACTAGATGTCTATTATACCAACTCATTATTCATAGTCGCTTTTTGAACTTGTATTTTTACACACCTATATTTTTTTTATAGATATATGCTTTATTTTAGCCCATGTTTAACTCAGTTTTACCTTTTTATATATACAAGTTTTACTTTCCCAGTAATTTTAGGACATAGTGTCCTCTAACATACAGAACAAAATACACCCAGGAACAACTGAAACACCCTGCTTTGTCCACATTGAGAGATTACAGCTCCCCTTTCTCTCCCCCCTTTTTAAAAAATTATTTTATTTTAATTTTTTCAATTTTATTCTTGTGTTTCATTTTGGCTTTGTATTTTCAGTGGTGGCGTCTGACCACTCTGGATTTTGTTAGGGTGCATCTAGCTTGGGTCGTAGTTGACATTTTGGAATCCATCCATTCACTCAACCATCCCTTGACAGAATGACTAGGAGAAGGAAGTCCCAACAAAGAACAGAACCAGAGACAATGTCCTCTGACACAGAACTAATGGATATGGATATAAGAAAGATGTCAGAGATAGACTTCGGGAAATCATGAAGTCAATATCTAGGTTTGAAAAAAGCATTAGTGACAATATAGAATCTCTAAGGGCAGAAATGAGATCTAATCAGGCCAAACTTAAAAATGCTATGAATGAGATGCAGTTTAAACTGGATACTCTGGCAGCCAGGGTAAATGAGGCAGAAGAAGGAATTAGTGATCTAGAAGATAAGCTGATAGAAAGGAAGGAAGCTGAAGAAGAGAGGGATAGGCAGCTAGTAGCAGATGAAAATAGACTTAGAGAGATCAACGACACCATGAAATGTTCCAATGTCAGAATTATTGGGATCCCCGAGGGGGTAGAGAGAGAGAAAGAGAGAGAGGACTAGAAGGTATATTTGAGCAAATCATAGCTGAGAACTTCTTAATCTGAGGAAGGAAACAAGCATTTGTGTCCAAGAGGCAGAGAGGACCCCTCCCAAAAACAATAAAAATAGATCAACACCCTGACATGTAAGAGTGAAACTTGCAAATCTTAGAGCCAAGGACGCTATCATGAGAGCAGCTAGTGGGAAGAGATCTCTTATGTAAGGAGGGAGGAACATCAGAATAACATCAGACCTGGCCACAGAGGCCTGGCCAGCCAGAAAGGGCTAGCAAGACATATTCAGGTACTAAGTGAAAAGAACATGCAGCCAAGAATACTTTATCCAGCAAGGCTGTCATTCAGAATGGAAAGAGAGATAAATAGCTTTCAGAACAGGCAGAAACTGAAAGAATATGTGACCACCAAGCCAGCCCTGCAAGAAATATTAAGGGGGACTCTGTAAGTGAATAGAAACCCCAAGAGTCACATAGACCAGAAAGAAACAGAAAACCTACAGAAACAGGGACTTTACAGGCAGTACAATGGCACTAATTCATGTCTTTCAATAGTTTCTCTCAACGTGAATGGGCTGAATGCTCCCATCAAGAGACACAGGGTTTCAGATTGGATAAAAAGCAGGACTCATCAATATGCTGTCTACAAGAGACTCATTCTGAACCGAAAGACACCTCCAGATTGAAAGTGAGGGGATGGAGAACCATTTACCATGCCAATGGACCTCAAAAGAAAGCTGGGGTAGCAATGCTCATATCAAACAAATTATATTTTAAACCAGAGACTGTATTAAGAGATGTAGAGGGACACTATATCATACTTAAAGGATCTATCCAACAAGAAGATCTAACAATTGTAAATATCTATGCCCCCAACATGGGAACAGCCAATTATATAAACCAATTAATAACCAAAATAAAGAAACATATGGATAATAATACATTAATAGTAGGAGACTCAACACTCCACTCACAGCAATGGACAGATCATCTAAGCAGACGATCAACAAACAAACAAGAGCTCTGAATGACGCATTGGACCAGATGGACCTCATAAGTATTTACAGAACATTCCACCCTAAAACAACAGAATACTTATTTTTCTCAAATGCACATGGAACTTTCTCCAGAACAGACCACATACTGGGTCACAAATCAGGACTCAACTGATACAAAAAGATTGAGATTATCTCATGCATATTTTCAGACCACAATGCTGTGAAACTGGAACTCAATCACAAGAAGCAACTTGGAAGGAACTCAAACACTTGGAAGTTAAAAAGCATCCTGCTAAAGAATGATTGGGTCAGGGGCGTCTGGATGGCTCAGTTGGTTAAGTGTCTGCCTTTGGCTCAGGTCATGATCTCAGGGTCCTGGGATCGAGTCCCACATCTGGCTCCCTGCTCAGCAGGGAGTCTGCTTCTCCCTTTCTCACTCTTCCTCTGCTCTCCCTCTCTCAAATAAATAAATAAAAATCTAAAAGAAAAATAAAGAATGATCAGGTCAACCAGGAAATTAAAGAACTTAAACAATTCATGGAAGCTAATGAGAATGAAAACACATCAGTCCAAAACCTATGGGACACTAAAATGCAGTCCTAAGGGGGAAATACATAGTCATCCAAGCCTCTCTCCAAAAATCAGAAAAATCCCAAATGCACAAGCTAACCTTACACCTAAAGTAACTGGAGAAAGAACAGCAAATAAAACCTAAACCAAGCAGGAGAAGAGAAATAATAAAGATTAGAGCAGAAATCAATGAAATAGAAACCAGAAAAACAGTAGAACAGATTAACAAAACTAGAAGCTGGTTCTTTTTTTTTTTAAAGATTTATTTATTTGACAGAGACAGAGATAGCGAGAGCGAGAGCAGGAGCACAAGCAGTGGGAGTCCTGAAGCTGGTTCTTTGAAAGAATTAATAAGATTGATAAACCTCTGGCCAGACTTATCCAAAAGAAAAGAGAAAGGACCCGAATTAATAAGGTCAGGAATGAAAGGGGAGAGATCACGACTAACACCAAGG